CTAGCTCCATCTATCTCATTGCAAATGGCAAGATTCCATTTTTTATGGCTGAGTAATATTGCATTGCATGCATGCATATATCCACCCCACTTCTTTATCCATTCATCAGTGGATAACATTTGGACTCTTTCCAAAATTTGGCTATTATTGATAACACTGCCGTGCACGTATCCCTTTGAATTAGTTTTTCTGTGTTCGTTGGCTGAATACCTAGTAGTTCAATTGCTGGATCATAGGGTAGTTCTATTTTTAACTTTTTGAGGAACCTCCACACTGTTTTCCAGAGTGGGTACACCAGTTTACATTACCACCAACAGTGCAAGAGGGTTCCCCTTTATCCACATCCTTACCAACATCTGTTGTTTCCTATGTTGTTGATTTTAGCCATTCTGACAGGTGTGAGGTGATACTCCATTGTAGTTTTGATTTGCATTTCCCTGATTATCAGTGATGTTGAGAAGCTCTTCATGTGTCTATTGACCATCTGTATGTCTTCTTTGGAGAAATGCTCATGTCTTCTGCCCATTTTTTCTAATTGGATTATTCATTTTGGTGAGTTTTATAAATTCTTTTTTTTTTTTACTTTTAAAATTTTGTTTTTGCTTTATTTGTGGCTGTGACTTAAAAAATAATTAAAAGGTTTTTTGAATACATTATAATGAATATTATAGAGCATCCTTCAATTGGAATTGAATTGAATTGAATCGGAATTCCTTCAATTGGAATACACGTAGATACTAAAAACTGGTTGTATTTGATGTAGTGTCAGTGCACAAAGTTTGTATTATCTATATTAAGTGAAATATCTTTAAAGGTACAGTTGTTTCTGTAGAGCAATAACATCTTCTGATATTTTTTGAAGTTCTTATTGTCAGCAGCAGCTACCAACTTCATTAACACAGTTAAGGATCTTAAAGTAATCTTTAACACATTTACATCAAATTTCACAGTCTAAGTCATTATCTGTGTTATATTAACCAGAACTTTATATGTTGGCATTCCCGTTCATGAACATTTGGAGGCAGCCAGTCTTTCTCAATTAACCCAAAGCAAATTTACTAAAGTTTTAGTTCTGTGTATTTTACTATACTCAAATTCTTTGGATACTGGTTATATGCTTTCATATATTAACTACTATACTTACAGAACATGATAATGGAGTTTACCATGAATTCAAATGAGATTAATTAAATTTTTCTCCAATTCCTACTTTATGCAAAGTAATGTGGAGAATGATGGTGGTTATGGTGAAGGATTGGGTACAAAGAGGTAGGGATTTGAGACAAAGTTCTCCCCTGCCTACTATTAGTATAAAAAGACTCTCATCCAAGGAATTTAACTAAAACTATGTGTTTACAAATCTTTTATTTTTTTTAGTGCAGAAAATCCCTTCATAGGCCAGGTTAAAAAGAAAAAGGAAAGGAAAGAGATAAGGGCACAAAAAAGTAGCAAAAGAAAAAAACCTAAGATTGTATCATAATTAGGATTGTGTGTTGGGGCCAGAGAGAGGGGCAGAGAGAGGGGAAGAGAGCGAGAAAGAGAATTTGCTAGTAAACATTTTGGATACTAACCCATTATCATATACGTCATTTGCAAATATCTTCTCCCATTCTATAGGCTGCCTTCTAGTTTTGTTGACTGTTTCCTTTGCTGTACAGAAGCTTTTTATTTTGATGAAGTCCCAAGAGTTTTGCTTTTGTTTCTCTTACCTCAGGAAACATATACAGAAGGAAGCTGCTATGTCTAATGTCAAAGAGGTTACTGCTTGTGTTTTCCCTTAGGATTTTTATGCTTTCAAGTCTCATATTTATGTCTTTAATCCATTTTTAATTTATTTTTTGTATGGTGTAAGAAAGTGGTCCAGTCTCATTCTTCTGCATGTTGCTGTCCAGTTTTCCCAACACCATTTGTTGAAGAGACTGTCTTTTTCCCATTGCATTTTCTTTCCTGCCATCAAGACTAATTGACCATATAGTTCTGAGTTCCCTTCCTAGTTTCTATCCTGTTGCATTGATCTATGTCTGTTTTTGTGCCAGTACCATATTGTTTTATTACCACAGCTTTGTAATATAACTTGAAGTCCAGAATTGTGATGCATCCAGCTTTGCTTATCTTTTTCAAAGTTGTTTTGGCAATCTGGGGTCTTTTTGGTTCCATACAAATTTTAGGATGGTTTCTTCCAGCTCTGTGAAAAATGCTTGTGGTATTTTGATAGGGATTACATTAAATGTGTAGATTGCTTTGGGTAGTAAGGACATTTTAACAATATTTGTCCTTCCATGAGCACGGATGTTTTTCCATTTCTGTCATCTTTAATTTCTTTCATGTGTGTTTTATAGTCTTTGGAGTACAGGTCTTTCAGCTCTTTGCTTACTTTTACTCTGATGTACCTTATGGTTTTGAATGCAATTGTAAATGGGGATTGATTTCTTGATTTCTTTTTCTGCTGCTTCATTACTGGTATATAGAAATGCTACAGATTTTTGTATATTTTGTATCCTGTGACTTTACTGAATTTGTATATCAGTTCAGGCAATTTTTTGGTGGTCTTTCAGGTTTTCTATATAGAATATCATGTTATCTGCAAATAAAGTTTTCTTTTTCCTTACCAATTAGGACGCCCTTATTTCTTTTCATTGTCTGATTGCTTTACTTCTTTTCATTGATTGCTTGGACTTCCAGTACTATGTTAAATTAACAGTGGTGAGAGTGGACATCCCTGTTAAGTTCCTGACTATACAGGAAAAATTCCGTTTTTTCCCATTATGATGTTAGTTATGGGGTTTTTATATATGGCCTTTCCTACATTGAGGTATGTTCCCTCTAAACCGATTTTGTTGAGGGCTTTTATCATTAATGGATACTGTGCTTTGTTAAATGTTTTTGCTTCTACTGAAAAGATCAAAGGGTTCTTATCCTTTCTTTTATATTAATGTGGCGTATCATGTTGACTGATTTGTGAATATTGAATCACCCTTGCAAACCCAGGAATAAATCCCACTTGACTGTGGTGATTGATTTTCTTTTTAATGTATTGTTGGATTCAGTTTGCTCTTATTAAGTCCTACTGGTTGTTAGAACTTGCAAAGTTTGGCCCTTCTGGTTTTCAAAGCCAAATGTTAAAGGGATTTGTCTTCCCAGTGTGACAAGTCTGTTTCTCTCCCTTATCCTCAGCAAATGGCATATTGAAATTTATATTTTTGGGTAAATTTTGTTGTGTTCCTTTAAAAAGTACTGTACTTCATTCTGGCATTTGTTAAATTATGTAGGACCATCCTGGTGCTTTGAAGGCTTCATTTTAAGCTTTTTATGTCAGGTACAGAGTAGTATTCATTCTAGGTATAATTTAGCCCCAAAATTAAGGTGATACTTTTCTGAGGATTCTATCTGTTGCTCTTTGCATTGCAACATCTTTCTATTCCTGCTGGTGTGGATGCAAACTATTCCTAGCCCTATATGACTTCTGAAAATTGCCTGACCTTCTGCTTTCCAGTAATTCTTTCCTCAACCTTGTGCAGGTTTGGCAACACAATGTCAGATCACTATTCAGCCAAAGATTAAAGGTGACCCCTCTACCAATCTCCAGAACTTTCCCTCTGTGCAGTGTTCTTTCTGGTAATCTGTCCAGCAAATTTTAGCCATCTTAGCCTCCCTGAACTCCAATTTCGGTTTCCTCAACTCAGTGAGACTGCTTTATCTGAATCCCGCCTCCCTGCACTATAAAAACTACCTGTAGGTGGTAAACAGGAATAACCGTAGGGCTCATCTTGTTTCCTTTTTTCTGTTCAACTGCCTGCTGGCCAATGTCTAAAAAAGTTATTTTGTCTATTTGATTTTCTAATTTTTTAATACTGGAAGGGCTATTTCCATAGCAGTTCATCCTTCAAAGAAACAATTAGAAATCCACTAAATACTGAATATTTGAACTTCTGACTTAGTAATTCATAATGATGATAAATGGCCCTTTCTTATACATTAAAATGAAAGGAAATGGAATTGTACATCATTTGCTTAGCACAATGAAATAATTTGTACTTTTAAATCCATTTACTGCTTAATAATAGGATTCTCAAAGCCAATAAACCTAGGCATAGTATTGACAAGATCAATAGTTTTCATATGTGGCAAAATCTTAATCTCCTATAGAACTTAAAAAAAAAAAATCAGGTATTGGCCTCTATACCTCTGAATTGAGAATTTAAGAGTCCAGGCAGATACACATTTTTTCAAAAGTTCCAAAGGTGATTCTGATAAATAGTCCTTATTACAAACTATTATTCACTAGTTTTCTAGATATTATAATTTTGAATAAGTTACTGACCAAAAGAAAAAGTAACCATACCTAATTCTGAATACCATATACAAAAAAAAGCAATCATAATAATTTAAAAAATAAGATTTTCATCACTAATTATATAAAGCAACTGTGAATCATTCACAAAGAAACTCACAGAGCAACTATGTATCAGACAAAATGTACCAGACATATGGATCACTGACAGCTACATATTTACATTCTAACATTTATTTGTCAACTTTTTCATTATTCTGGAAATGGACTGGTTTAAAAATTGGCTTTAAAATAAACCAGATTTCATGGGTGCCTGGGTGGCTCAGTGGGTTAGAGCCTCTGCCTTCGGCTTGGGTCATTATCCCAGGGTCCTGGGATCGAGGCCCACATCGGGCTCTCTGCTGGGCAGGGAGCCTGCTTCCCCTCCCCTCTCTCTGCCTGCCTGTGATCTCTGTCAAATAAATAGATAAAATCTGTAAAAAATAAATAAATAAATAAAATAAACCATATTTCAAAAATTAATAAAAGTATGAACTTAGCAATGCTATTATCATTAAGGTCATTTATTATTTTATATAAGAAATGCTTATATACAATCATTATTTTACATATAATACTACATAATATACATTTTATATTATTATTTCATTTATTCCTAAAAAGTAAGAAGTCACAATAATTATCCTGGTTAGTGAAAGTGTCAACTTACCTCTTTCACATTTGCATCATCAAAAAATACCCATTTGGAACTCTTGGTATGAAGAGCAAAGGCACAATAATGTCGGCTGGTGTAGCAGATCATACCAACTAGATGAAGTTCACTATTTTTGGCATTTTCATCAGTAACTCTATAAAAAAGCTGTTCAAAAAAATGAAAATGTATATTTAATACTGTATCTTTTAAAAAACAAGGAACAATAATTTGGTGAGTCAGGTATTTGACTATCTATGAAAAAATTTCTTATGCAAGCTTCCTTAATCCAATATTATATAAGTACAGAAAGTACCACTAAGATTGGACTGAACAGAATTATCATTAACTATTACTTACTATTAACTATAGCTATTAGCATTCCTCCAATAAAATGAATTCACTACAATTTAGTTCAGTAACCCAGTATCTTGACAATTTATATACATAAACTGGAAATGTGGGATAAATTACACAATTCCCAATAATTTTTCATTGAATCACATATTTGAACATACATTAAACATATTATCTGAAAGTTAATTATCTAAAAGTTTAATTATAATATAAACCAATCAAATATTAAGATGTTAATAAGCATATAGAGATCAGTGCTGTAGATGATTTTTAACCCACTGAGCCACCCAGGCGCCCCAACTGTAGATGATTTTTGACTCTTTACTTTTCTAGGTTAATATTTATATTTTGTCATTACCACACTCACATACACACACACACATCATTATCATCATTCTAGAGTGATACAAAACTAGAGCATGAGACAGTTTATAACTGAAAGTCATTCCCAGTCTATGCAAGAAAGGCATTCCAGTTAGCTCGATTTGATGAATTTTATCAGGATTATATCTGAATATTATTTCCTTTAGAAAGAAAATTTAGTTTTTAAAAACAAAGTGTGTTATAATATATGAATACGTTTATAATAATTTAAAAACAGAAAAGAGAATGAAAACAGCTGAGATACCCCAGGAAGATAAAGATGTGTTGCTAGATTCCGAACAACATCTTCGGTCAAGTCAGAATGTTCAGAATCCCATACTAAACCAATTGTAACAATCTCTGGGCAATTCATTAAAACACGGCGAATTTTTATTTTTTGGCCACAGTTACTCTAAAGAAAAACACAAAAGGCACATTTTGAAATTACTGAAATAGGTATACCATAAGTAATACCTTACAGTTTGTATTAAACAGTAACAACCTTCACATATATCAGAAAATTCTTTGCTCAGAATACTAAAATTCACTTTTATCCAGCTATTTGCTTAATTATTGATTAAATGGTAAGTTTGTTTTAATCAAAGTACTTTCCTTTGGTATTTTTAAAATCTGCTACAATAAGAATTCAATCTAAAAAAATGAGAAATAGAACACTGAATTCATTAATAATATTACATTAGAAAAGAATGGTACCATTTGTAGTGCTTATAATGAAAATAAAAAACTTTCTCTTTAAACAAATGATAGATTTCAGAACTTAAAAAAAAATAATCAGGAGGCACCTGGGTGACTCAGTCAGTTAAGTGCCTGACTCTTGATTTCAACTCAGGTCATGATCTCAGGATGGTTGAGATCAAGCCTCACCTAGGGCTCCATGCTCAGCAGGGAGTCTGCTTAACATTCTCTCTCTCCCTCTCCTTCTACCCCTCCCCTCCAGCCCTCCTTGCATGCACACGTGCACCCTCTTTCTCTCAAAAAGGAAAAAAAAAATCAGCATACACTAACTTAAATCCTTCACGAAAAGTTTTTAAAGAAATAGTGCTCAAACAGCTCACCTGGTATAAAGAGTTGCCTAAAATAATATTGAAAAAATAAATTCTTAAAATCAAGCCCATGTATAGTTAGTATTTACATGGTAATTTCTGAATATCTATTTTCAAATTTATAAACATAAAAGCACATTAATATTCTCCAAATTATACTTACAGGACATTTCCTATAGTCATCAGTTGTATTTGCTGCTTGCAGCAATTCTGCAAACATTTCAGGCTTAAAACGTTCATGCCTTTCCATCATTCTTTCTACCTCGTTGCTACAAAACAAAGGAGCAGTGTCAAATTTGTCCCTTGAACTTTAGAAAGATCTAACAAATTATGCATGAAGAATATTAAGTTATCAATATGGGTATTTTATATCTTAAAACAGGTTGTTTGAAAAATTAACCATAAAGTGAATTTTCGTAGAGTGAAAAATTATGAAATTTGGCAGGTTAACTTATGATGAAAAAAATTAGGTCAAGAACAAAAGAACACTAAATTTTACCATCGTTTGGAACTACATGAACGAGGTAATAAAATGATCCTAGTTCTGTCTGGAGGTAGTTCTAAGTCAAATGTTTCTTTTACATTATTATTTAACAAATAGGGACTTGAGTTTAAATTTTGGCCTAACAAGAAAAACAAATTGTTGGAAAGGCTTCCCCTCTGGCCTAAAGTTCTCAGAAACAAAGTTACCATTTTCAGCTAACAGAAGGCTCCTTTGCTGATTAATGCAGAAGTCAAAACCAAAACTATTTAGGTCAGGCTTATGCCTTATGCTAACCATTTCATTACAGCCTAGGCAGGATATCTGTGCCACTTTTTGTTTAGTCTATTTTAGAATCAAATTTTTATATAGCAAGGTATTAAGTATCTTTAAACAACTATTTAAACACTTCCAAAAAGATAGGTCATATAAGTTCAAACATCCTTACTACTTTCCATTCTAGATGCTCTGGTTCTGCTTAGTGGTAATATTAACTGTCTTAGAACTAGATATATTTTACAGTTCCATGGTTTAATATACAGTATTCAATAACAACTAAAAGCACCTATTCTTCTAAAACACTTCACAAGTATATTAGAAAGCACTAAATCTGATAAGCTTGTTCAAACTGTACATTTAAAATGATGTTTTTGTTAACATTACAAGTAATGATTTATGTGAAGCCTGGAATTCTGTAATTGGTATTCAATACTTATTATCAATACAAAGGTGATTATAGTTGACACTTAAACAACATGGGGTAAAGGGCACCAACCCTCACACAATCCAAAATCCGCATATAACTTCTGACACCCCCCTCAAAGTTAACTACTAATAGCCTACTATTAACTGGAAGCCTTACCAATAATAGTCAATTAACACACACTTCCTGTTATATGTATTATATACTGTATTCTTACCAAAAAAGCTGGAGAAAAGGAAATGTCATTAAGAAAATTATAAAGGGGACAATCAGATGGCTCGGTCAATTGAGTGTCTACTTGATCTCAGCACAGGTCTTGAACTCAGGGTTATGAGATCAAGCCCTGCACTGGGCTCCACAAACAGTAGGAAATCTGCCTGAGATTCTCTCTCTCCTTCTCCCTCTGCCCCTGCTTCTGCTTGCACATGCACGCTCTCTCTCTAAAATAAATAAATAAATCTTGAAAAAAAACTAAGGAAAATACAATACATTTACAGTAATGTACATTTATTATTGAGAAAAATCTGCATCTAAGTGGACCTGTGCACTTCAAACCTGTGTTATTGAAGGGTCAACCATAATTAGAGTTCAAAGTCTGGTTTCTTGCAATTGATGGTGTGGACCAGGAAGAGACTGATGGAGCTCCAACTCTTGTTACATAAGATACTGAATCAGAGCACTGTCATTTTATATAAGAGTTTCAGAGTAGACTTAAAATTTTACGGTTTCTAATGTGTGGCCTATCCTTGTTCAAACGCCATCCTACTTTTCATACAAAGTGAAAAAAAATGGATCTAAAATTGACTGAATTTTAGGGAATGGTTCCCTAAAACTATGCTCCCAAACTCTGGATATATTAAGACACTAAACACACTCAAATAATGAAATTGCTATTATTCAATAATCTTCAAGAAATATTGTGTCATATCCAAAAAAGCCAAGAAGTGTAATAATATAATGAAACCGATAAGCACCTGATATTTATTTTGCACAATGATAAAAATATTGGTACCATTTAGTAACTGTTATACTAATGTACTGATAATTATTGATCCATGTGTTATTTTTTATATCAAAATACCTATAAATATTTATGACTTTATTCAATGTTCCTATTAAATATTTATATTTTCAAATACCTATTCAAAAGTGTTTAAACTACTCTTATTATGTAAAGTCTAGGGATCTTTTTGGATCCCTAACTCACTAATGTTTCATGAGCAGGGAAGGAGGGGACAGGCAAGCTGGCAAATTTTTATTTCAGGTGAATGTTGAGGCTTTAAATGCAATAAATCTAATGGAGAATTAATTTCACCTTTTCTTTCTTTTCTCCTTACCCTGGCTTCCATCACCATGAAGGGACATGGAGATGAAGGGAAACACTGTTACTACAAAGATAACACCTTAGCAAAAATGAAGAAATCACATGCAACTCCATTTAACACTGAACTTGTTGTCATTTTAAGGTCTCCTTTGCAATTCCCAAAACTTGCTATAAACATAAAGAGACACAAATTTTGACTAATATTTGGAAATTTCATCAAGTATATGTTTCTGACCAAATCAGAAACAGCTAGCTGAGCTGGACATCACTCAGCACCTCTGATGGTTGCGTATTTTCAGGTCTAAGACAGAGAGCTGATATTCACATACATTATTGTTCTATAAAATAAATGCTCAATGTGGTAAACATGCTTTAACAGGCTCTCACCATAGGGCTGTTGTAGAAATGTACCGCACAAATTCTGTAAAAGGCAGAGGATCTGATGATGCTCCACAGCTGCAACACACACACTACAGGGAAGAACATATGTTTGATTGATCAACCATAAAACATAAATATAATACTATGTTACATATATTTAAATATGTTACATATTATACATATATAAACGTATGCAAACAGAGTAACTAATGAAGTGGTTGAGCCATCTCACCTGTTCATACAGCGTCATAGCAAACTTCTGGTGAGTGATACAAGATTTAGAGGTACACATGTCTGCATCTCTGCTTGGCACTATATGGAAATGAATCCTCTCCAATATATTTTCCTAATTTAAAAAATTAAATGACAAATGAGTTGTGAAACTTACAGATGACACTATACAATATAACTCTTTTAAACTTTACAAATTTAAGAATCTTTTTAAGGGGCTGCCTGAGTGGCTCAGTTGTTAAGCGTATGCCTCTGGCTCAGGTCATGATCCCAGGGTCCTGGGACCCTGCTCAGGGTCCTGCTCCCTGCTCGGCAGGAGGTCTGCTTCTCCCTCTCCCACTCCCCCTGCTTGTGTTCCCTCTCTGTCAAATAAAAAAAATAAAATCTTTACCAAAAAAAAAAGAATCTTTTTAAGATTTTTTCAAAGTGTTAAATTGAACAGTGTCATACATACTGTCAGCTTTTCAGCTTTCCTCTTTAATCAACCCTTCAAATGCTGTTCAATTACTCACCTTTTGTAGCATTAGCTCTTAAAAAAATTTAATGAAAGAAACATTATAACATTATTTTAATAAATATTTTAAAAGTCCTTTAAAAGCAATTCATGGTGGCTAACATCTAGAATTTAATATTAGAAAACATAAGTTTCCTATGTTTCCAGCATTCTTACATTAAGAAAAGCAGTTATTCTTTCAAAAATCCTACTTGGAACATTTTTATAGTCTCTATAACTCACATTAAAAATAGCAATCATAAAGGTTTACAATACCTACACTAACATCCTAATGCAAGGAATCTGTCCGGCAAACAAATTTCATATGAAATTTCAAATTCGTAATACAGATCAATAAGGAGTATTTATTTAACAAGTAATCCTTCTTTATGGGTTGCAAAGTTTATCCAATGGATTCTTTTTTTTTTTTTCTTTCAAGATTTCTTTTATTTATTTGACAGAGAGAAAGACTGCAAGATAGGGAACACAAGCAGGGGGAGTGAGAGAGGGAGAGGGAGAGAGAGAAGCAGACTTTTCACAGATCAGAGAGCCCAACACCAGGCTCGATCCCAGAACTCTGGGATCACAACCTGAGCTGAAGGCAAAGCCTTAATGACTGAGTCACCCAGGCACCCCTCCAATGGATTCTTTTAATTAGCTAACTTACCCGTCTTCTGCCCTAGGAAATTTAAAAGCATTCAATTATTTAAGCCTAAATTTCTAGATAGTCCATGAATTATCATATCACTTATTAGTACATTTCATTTAAATGAAAATAAACTACAAAGTTTGGTATTGTACAAAATATATTTATATTTTAAGTGATGGATCAATTAGAAACATGAAATATGAACATATTTTATGACTATGTGTGCTGTTTTTGAAACATTTTAATCAACAAGAAAAGTATGCTAAGCAGTGCACTAGTCAAAGAGCTTTGCATCTGTCCAAGGAAACAGTAAAGATGATCATTAAGGAAATAACAACAGGGGCACCTGAGTAGCTCAGTCAGTTAAGTGGCCGATTCTTGATATCAACTCAGGTCATGATTTCAGGGTCCTGGTATCAATCCCTGTTTCGGGCTCCACACTCAGCAGGGGGTATGCTTGTGGATTCTCTCCCCCTCACCCCCGCCTCAGCCTCTCCTCCCACTTGTGTATGTGTGCAAGTGTGAGCACACACATGCACACATTCTCTCTCTCAAATAAATTTTTAAAAAAATGAGAATAACCTATAAATGCCAATTTACTATCTACAGATAGTAAATTCTACAGAAATCCAGTGAATTTAAAAGACATACTTCAGGAATAGAACAACCTACATTAGGAGGGAAAATTATAGGAGGAAATAAAGAGGTAAACTGGAGTTTAACTGTAAATGGCCTTAAATGTCAGAAGAGTCCAGACTGGAGTCACAAGAATATCTGAAGGGCAAAGATTAATCTGAAGAAAATTTTATTAATCCGTTGGCCACTAAGAAACACTGTTAAGGGGATAGGCTGAAAGGATACAAGAAAGGAGGCTTAAATAATGCTGAGAGTAAGGGCCCAAACTATTAAGAAGTGGTTTGAGGAAAACAATGTGTCAAGGAAAACAAAAGATTTTCTGATGAAAGAATGAATAGAATTTTTAAATAGATATAAGACTATGAAAAAAAGTTTACCTCTTTAAATATAAGTAACATCTGCAACATTGACACATTTAATAATCAACACATATTTTAGAAGGTATGTATGGTTTAGTTACTATTCAAAGGAATGCTCTACGTATCAATATGGTGGTAAAACAGAGACTTGGAACATCAACCCCAGTTAATGATTCTCAATCCAGAGTGAGATGTATAGCAGAACAGCTGCCCCGATAGCTGCCCACCAAGCTCCTCTTCTCTCCCAAAGAGAATCATTGTATGTAATGAGAAATGCTACTGCTGGGAATGCATTATTGCACATATCAACACTGTGGAGGCAGAATACTGACTTAAGTGACATAATTCATGTTTAATAAATGTTTTTTTCTAATAAATAAATTTTAAAATATTCCAGGGGTCTAATAGCCAATAAAAATGACAGCAGCACAAATAACCAAAATCAAAAGTCATGAGATTTAAACTAAGCTCTGAAGGGCAGGTAAGACATGGATCCAGGGAGCAGTTATGATTTGTTTCCATTGTTAGAAATTTATGTTTAATTAACCTTGAAATTCATATCATTTAAGGAAAACAAGCTACTGTCCTGATTTAAGAATTATCCAAAATACTTACAAAGCACTCTGCAGCATCATCCATAAGGCCCAACTGAAATCGCTGCTCATCTTTGAAGCTCTCTGCTAGAGCGTGCCTTATGTTATCCGAGGGAAGTGCTTTTTCTCGACTGTGTTGAAACTGCGCAAATATATTCTGGGGAGCAACAAGTACATCAGTAAGTGTAAAGCCAACCACTAAAGAAACATGTCAGTAACTTCATTATAACACAGTGAAACTTACAGCTATACCCAGAAACTAGTAGTCTTTTGCTCTAAAATTCCATATAAAGATTATTTGTCTCAGTAATGTACAGAAATGGTTGCCTCAGCCTCGAAATCAAATGTTAGTGTGCACAGAATTCTCAGTTCCCATCCTCGAGGTTTCTAATTGAATATGCTGAAGTGAGGACAATTTTTAACCATTTCCCAGCTCATTCTGATCTAAACTGTTTAAGGAAGAGTTCTGAGATAAGCTGCTATAAGTCTAAAAGTATGCTATAAGGAATTAAAATTATGTTAACCAAAAATAAATACATAATCGCATAAAAATTAGTAGGAACTCACTAGTCTTTTAAAAAAAGTAGCTTGGGGCACCTGGATGGCTCAGTTGGTTAAGCATCTGCCCGTCTGCCTTCAGCTCTGGTCATGATCTCATGGTTCTGGGATTGAACCTGGCATCAGGCAGGAGTCTGCTTCTCCCTCTCCCACTGTCCCTCCCCTGATTCCTTCTCTCTCTCTCTCAAATAAATAAATAAAATCTTAAAAACAAAAAACATAGCTTAAATGAACTTTAATAATTTTTTTCCTTCCTAAATAAACCCCAGAAAATTACAAACCCTGGTTTAAAAATAAACAAACGTCAAATAACTTCAATACAATTAAAATTTCCCACTATTTAAATTTGCCTCTAAAAACTGACACTCTACAATTTGCATGAAGTCAGAAAAGATGAGCTATCCAGGCATCCCTGACTTTTAATTTTTAAAGAAAATTTTTTTTTCAAATTATCAGTTTTCCTCACTTAGAGCATTATTTCTAATCCAAGCCTAAGAAATACTGGAAACACTCAAGAATATGTGATTATAGGTGTTAATCTGGTTTTTCATTTTCCTTATTGAATCCAAATAAGATAAACTTTTTAATAAGTTCCAGTTTTATGACAATCATCTTAGGTGGGGGAAAGGCTTTCAGTGACAACCTACCAAATAAGGATTGGCCATATTAAATTCTTAATTAGTCTAAGGGGTATGTCACCTCAAAAACATTTTTTTTCCTCAGGTCAATATATGGTAGGGTAGGAAAACATTTTAAAAATCTGTTTCACTACTTCCAAAAAATGTACTTTATAAATAAATTAAAAATTGAAGAATAATGATGCTAAGTGATATTAGATATCCAGATCTATAATTTTCTAATTATAATTACAAAATGAAAAAATAAAAAAAAATTTTCAGATGTCATTGGTTATTCAGGTAATTAACTTTTCAAGATAATGCTTGAAATATTAATCCTATGCCTGAATGTCACTCATTTGTTATCTGTTTTCTGTTTAGTATATGTGAGGCACCTTCACTAGAAAACAGAAAAACCCTGCCCTCATGGGGCACACATTCTAGTTATAGTAAGGAGAAAGTAAGTAATTATATGGCATGTCAATCTGTGATAAAATAGAGAAAAATAAAGAAATAAAATACAAGAGAGAAAAATAAAGTATTATAAATAGAAATAGAGATACTGAGAGTAGGAAGGAGGTTAACTATTACCTAAGGTAGTCAGGGAAGGCCTTACTGATGTCCTCATTTGAAGACTGGCATAAAGGAAACAGGCTGTTAGCCACAAAAACATCTAGAAGAAAAGCACTGTAAACAAAAGGAATAATAATGAAAATAGTCAGAGATGGAAGCCAGCTCTGAGAAACTGCAGGAGGCAGCCAGTCTGGCTAAAGTACAGTATCTGAGACAGTGAGAGAGAGAGAGTGAGAGAGAGAGAAAATGTTTTGGACTAGTGTGGAGGCAGGCAGGTGATTGTGTAAGGCTATGAAAGATTCAGGCTAGAAATTTTAACTATATTCATTTTACAATTGGACAAAATATTCAAAATTGACTGTGGTGTAAATAAAATGTGATACTGTAATCTGATCTAAATTCATTCTTCATCCCCTAACAATAACCCTATTTTGCCAGTTTCTAAAAAAGAGAATATAAAATTGCCTTCTTTGATGATTTATATTCAGGAGTATAAATCAAAATAAAGCAGGAAAATGGCACTTTATTTTCTTGCATGTTTATATGTGTGTAAGAGTATTCAAGAATGTAAAAGAATGAAATATTTATCTCTGAAACATGTTAATAAAATTTTAAATTCTTGGGCAAATTTCAATGACATAAATGAGATGCTAATAGATACATGACTCCCTGTTTCTGCCTTTGCCTCTCTTCTATTTATTTCCATCCAAGTAGACAAAGAGATCTAGTCCAAACATTCTATCTAGTTAAAACAGATTATATCACTCTTCCACTCGAAACAATCCAGTAATCCTAAATTACTCAGGACAAAAAGCCAAGGACCTAACAAAGGTCTAGAAGGAACTACACAATATGGATTCCTGTTCCAGTTATTTATTGCTCCATAACAAACCACTGTAAAACTAAGTTACTAAAAATAACATTTATTATGATTACAAATCATTAATTTTGGTAAGGACAACTCAACGCTGCTCCATTAATTTTGGTAAATACAGCTCGACACTGGGACCTAGAACAATCTGAAGGCTGCTCACTTACACTGAACAGTTGATGCTGGTTGTTAACGCTGCCTGTCCACTTAGACTTCTGGTTTAGTTGCGGCTAACTTGGCTTCCTCACTTCATGACAGCTCACTCCCAAGAATGCCAGCCCAACAGACAGAGCCAGATGGAAATTTTATCATCTTTTCAAATCTAACCTAACCTCAGATGTCTGCAGTGTCATTTCTGCCATTCTATGTGGTGGGAATGAATCCTTAAGGCCAGTCCATATTCAAAGAATAGACTCCACTTTTTGATAAAAAGGGTGCAGAAGAGGGGCACGTGGGTTGCTCAGTTGGTTAGGTGTCCAACTCTAGATTTCAGCTCAGGTCATGAGCTCAGGGCTCTGAAATCAAGCCCCATGTCGGGCTCCGTTTTGGGCAAGAGAGCCTGTCTAGGATTGTCTCTCCCTCTCTCTCTCTCTGCCCCTCTCCTGCTCATGCTCTCTCTTTCTTAAAAAACAAAACAAAACAAAACAAAACTGCAAAGAATGTGCAGACATGTTTTACTTTATTTTTAAAGATTTTATCTATTTATTTATTTATTTCGAGCTCACGGGAGTTGGGGGGAGGGAGAATGGAAGAGAAAAAAACCTCAAGCAGCAGCCTGCTGAGCACGGAGCCCAAGGTGAAGCTCCTCAATGTCATGACACTGAGATCATGACCCCAGCCAAAAGTAAGAGTCTGACACTTAACCAACGGAATCACCCACACACCCCTGCAGACAGGTTTTAAATAACCACAACTCACCTTACTTCTGAGCTCACCTCTTATCAGTCTTCCCCTTACTCATAAAGCTTCTGACACCCAGGTTTCCTTGAATGTGTCACGTATGCCCACCTCAGGGTCTTTGCAGTTACTGTTTCCCTGCTTCCCTGGAATGCTTCACTCCATCATCTTTTCCAAGTAATGGTTTAAACTTTCCCAGTGAGGCTTTCCTGACTATTCAACACACTCTATTATTCCCTTTCCCTGATTTATTTTTCCCCCTTTGTAGTTACTACCATCTAACACACTTTATATTTTGCTTACTTGTTTTCTCCTCCCCTATAAGAATATAAGCTCCATGAGAACAGAGTTTTTATCACCTTGTTCACTGCTGTATCATAAGTAACCAAAGCAGTGCACAAAATTCAGTAGTAGTTCAAAATCCATTTCATAAAATGAAAAAAGAATTGTTCCAAAATAATGAAAAATGTAATATTCTTAATGTTTTTATACTACTTAGAATATTAATTTTAACTTTCTTTACATAAGAGTGGAAAAAAAATCCATACACTTGAATAAATCAACTTTAAGAATTCACCTTCAAAGCTCTAAGTCACTTGACAATGAACTTTAATTTCAAGTAAACTGACCAAATAAACTATCAAATAAAATTAAATTTTTGGCAAAACAATTAATAGTAATCTTCCATAACATTAAAAGGTTACCTTCAATGCACAAAATATGCAGGCATCTCCCTGACAAACATGTCCAGTTAGAACCCGCAAGCTTCTTCGGAATATATCCAATTGCCATAAAACCTAAAAAATTATAAGAAAGAAACAGTGAAGAAAGAAATACAGTAAGATTTTTCTCCCTATGACAAAAGACAGATTTGACTTAGACTGCAGAAGGCTAACAACTTATTTTAATCTCTTGTGCACAATCAGACATATATAAGCACTGAAACAGCAACTATGAAACTGCTATACACATGCAATAAATACATAAAAGAGGGATTTAGAAGGTATTCCTATTGATTCACATGTCAAAACTGACAGGCAGAGAGTTAAGAAAAAACTAATTCCTCAGTTAAGGATTTAATATGACCGGGAAACATGGGACACTGAATGGAGGTCTTGGCAGTGACATGAAAGAGGAAGTGATTATAATACTTGGAACAGACTGAACTTTAGGAAGGAAATATAATTGGAGTTGAAAGCCAGGGTGTATCAAATAAGGGTCAGTAAGTAACAGCCAGAAAAAAAGGTGAGCAGCGGTTTGTGTCCTTGTGTATTGAATGACAAGGCGGCCAGCTGTGTGGTAACAGGGGGACAGTACAGTAAAATGCATCAGTTAAGGAATAATATGAATATAATTTGCTGCAATTATCCATTCATCATTTGCTACTAAAAGAAAAAAGCAAACAAAAAACACTAAGTGTTTAAATAAAATCAGTCCAGTATTTAAAATCTAAAAAACTCTTAAAACTATAAAGTGAGGATAACTCTGCCTGCCTCATGGTGTTCTTGTAAGGATTAAACAATATGTACTACTATATAAAATGCTTAGAGGCGTGCCCAGTACATAACTGGAATGCAATGAACGCCAGCTGCTATTTATTGCCGCAATTACTATTACAACAAACAGACTTCCAAGTCTCCCTATATCTTTCAGTCATTTCCTCAAATAATATAACTTAGAAAATCTATTTATGATCTCTCATTTCTCCCAACTAGAAACAAAGATTAAGAAAAACAAATGATTTTAACAGATATCCTATATTTTCAATTACTCAATAACTAAAGGCCATTTCAGAATTTCCCTTTGAGAGTTGCTTTTCCTTAAAGAAAACTAATAGGATCCATTTATCTATTACAAATAATTCAGTGTTTTTGCAAAACACTTGAAAATGTCTAATAATTCTCTTGCATATCATACATATCTGATCATACCATAAAATATGTGACACTGGAATTCATTCATCTGTTAAGATGAAGACCAGGACTGCACAACCTTGGGAAGTAGCATAGCACTGTGCTTAGTAATACAACATTTGAAGGCCGACTGCCTGGGTATTAATTCTGGATTTATTGCTTATCAGGTCTTGGGTTGACTTAAGCAAAATATTTTCCGAAACTCAATTTTCTCATCAGTAAAATGAAGATTAAAGCAGTACTTATCCCTTTGGACTGTTGTAAGAATTAGATTAGAGAGAACATATAGTGTTCAGGTAAGTACCAACACAAGTAAGAACACAATAAATGCTATTTATTAAAGATTATAACTTTGCTTTTAACTTAGAGAATTTAAAACCATATCAAGTGTCATAACTACTTAATTATGGTTATGTCAGATAAAATATCTGACATAAAATTCTAAAATATTCAGAATATTTTAAAATTAATATTTAAAAGAGAATACCCTCCATAATCTGTTTATAAGGCCAGTGAAGTATCTCTTCAAATGTAACTGGAATGTTTTCTGAATTAGCAAAATGTTTAAGTTATACTGGATTCAAACTACAGAAAAAATAATATTTATGTAACTTTTCTATACATTATTTAGTATAATAGTTTATCCTCTCTTTTAACAAATCCATATCAAAAGTTATTCTAATTGTTAATTTTTATCCTACTTCATTTTAAAATATTGATTATAAACAACAAATGGGTAAACAAACAAATTGAAAAAAAAAATTAAGTAAAATCTTGCCATTTGCACCAACATGGATGGACTAGAGGACATAATGCCAAGTGAAATAAGTCAGTCAAAGAAAGACAAATATCATATGATTTTACTTATATATGGAATTTAGGAAACAAAAATGCACAAACAAGGAAAAAAAGAGCCAAACTAAAAAAAATTAAAAAAAAAAAAAGGACTCTTAAATAGTCTGGGGGATGGGTGAAATAGATAAAGGGGAAGAGTACTCTTATCCTGATGAACACTGAGAAATGTGCAGAACCGCTGAATCACTATATTGTACACCTGAAACTAATATAACACTGCATGTTATGCACTTGAATAATAAAAAGACAAGGGGAAAAAAGTGCTTAGAAATGTGAAGGTGTGTGTTGGGGGGGAAACCCCTGGGATAAATGAAAATGGAAATACAACTTTCCAAAATCTGTAGGATGCAGCAAAAGCAGCTCTGAGAAGGAAGTTCGTGGCAATATGGGCCTACCTCAAGAAACAAAAAAAGTTCAAATAAACAAACTAACTTTACATGTAAAGACTCTAGAAAAGAAGAACAAAGCCCAAAGTTAGTAGAAGGAAGGAAATAATAAAGGTCAGAGTAGAAATAAATGACACACTTAAAAAAAAGAAAATTAGAAAATAATAGTGAAACTAAAAGCTGGTTCTTTTAAAAGATAAAATCAATAAACTTCTCACCAATAAACTATCTCACCAGACTCATCAGGAAAAAAAGAGACAACCCAAATAGACAAAACCAGAAATGCAGGAGATGTTACAACTGACACTATATAAATACAAAGAATCTTAAGAGACTACAATAAATGATAGGCCAACAAACTGAAAAACCTAGAAAAAATGGATAAATTCCTAGAAAAAAACAACTTTCTAAGACCAAATCACAAAGAAATAGGAAATCTGAACAGAATGATTACAAGTAATGAAATTGAATCAGTAACTTAAAAACTTCCCCCAAACAAAAGTCCAGGATCAGACAGTTTCACAGGTGAATTCTACTAATCATTTAAAGAGTTGGTAATTATCCTTCTCAAATTACTCCAAAAAATTAAAGAGGAAGAAACACTTTCAAACTCATTTTACAGGGCCAACATTACCCTGATATCAAAAACAGGAAAGGAAAAGGAAAAGAAAAGGAAAAAGGAAAGGAAAAGAGAACAGAAGAGAGGAGAAGAGAAGAGAGGAGTGAGAGGGAAGGAGGGAGGGAGAGAGAAAGAAAGAGAGAATATAACAGACCAATATCCCCAATGAACATAGATATAAAAATCCTCAACAAAATATTAGCAAATGAAATTCAACAGTACATGAAGAGGATCAGATGCCATTATCAAGTGAGATTTGTTCCAGGGATGCAAGGTAGCTCAACATCTGTAAATCAATTATCATATTACACCACATCACAAAACAAAGAATAAAAATCATATAATGATCTTTAATGATCTTTATACAGAATCAGCATTTGACAAAAATTCAACATCATTTATGATAAAAACTCTCAATAAAGTGATTATAAAAGAAACATCCTCAACATAATAAAGGTCACAATAAACCCACATCTAATATTATACTCAACAGTGAAAGGCTGAAAGCTTTTCCTCTAAAATCAGAAATAAAAGTACTCACTCTCCTGTTATTCAAGAAGTGCTAGCCACAGCAATTAGGCAAGAAAAAGAAATAAAAGGTATCTAAGTGGAAAAAAGTAAAACTGTCACTATTTGCAGACAACATGATAATTGTATATAGAAAACCCTAAAGACTCCACCAAAAAACTATCTGGATGAATTCTGTAGTTGTAGAATACAAAATTAACACACAGAAATCAGTTGTGTTTTATACTAAGTTGTGTTTTATACTAATAATACTAATAATAATAAGTTGTAGAATACAAAATTAACACACAGAAATCAGTTGTGTTTTATACTAATAATAATATATACTAATAATATACTAATAATAAAATATACTAATAATATACTAATACTAATAATCAGAAAAAAAATTTTTTAAATAATCCCATTTAGAATTAGATCAAAAAGAATAAAATACCTCGGAATAAACTCAACAAAGGAGGTCAAAGACCTGTACAGGCATACCTCTGAGATATTGCAGGTTTAACTTCAGGCCACTCTAACAAAGCTAATATTGCAATAAGTCAGTCACATAAACTTTTTAGTTTCCCAGTGCATATAAAGTTATGTTTACACTATACTGTTGTCTATTAACTGCGCAATAGCATTGTGTCTAGAAAACAATGTACATACCTTAATTTAAAAATATTTTATTGCTAAAAATGTTAACCATCACCTGAGCTTTCAGAGAGTTGTAATCATTCTATTGGCAGAGGGTCCTGCCTTGATATTGATAGCTTGCTGACTGATCAGGGTGGTAGTTGTTTAAAACTGGAGTGGCTGTCATAATTTCTTGAAATAAGACAATAATGAAGTTTGCCACAGCAATTCCATTCTTCCTTTCACCAACTACTGTTACATAGCATGCAGTGCTGTTTGATAGAATTTTACCCACAGAACTTTCAAAATTGGACTCCATCCTCTCAAACTCTGCAGCTGCATTATCAACTAAGTTTTTGTAATATTCTAAATCCTTTGTTGTCATTTCAACAAATGTACACAGCATCTTCACAAGGGTAGATTCCATCTCAAGAAACCACTTTCTTGGCTCACCCATTAAGATGTTCTTACCCATTAAAGTTTCATCATGAGATTGCAGCAATTCAGTCACATCTTCAGGCTCTACTTCCAATTCCAGTTTTCATACTTTTTTCACCATATTTTTCTGCAGTTACTTCTTCTATTTAAGTCTTAAACCCCTAAAAGTCATCCATGAAGTTTGGAACTGACTTATTCCAAACTCCTATCAATGTTGATATTTTGACCTCTTCCCATGAGTCATGAGTGTTTCTAATAACATCTAGATTCAGTCTTCAAGAACGTTTTCAATTTACTTTGTCCAGATCCATCACTGCTTATGGAAGCTACAGTCTTATGAAAACTACAGCTATATGTCATTTCTTAAATAACAGGACTTGAAAGTGAAAATTACTCCTTGATCCATGAGCTGCAGAATGGGTATAATGTTAACAGGCATA